TTAACATACACATTTTTGATAGATAATATGGTATAATGGTTAGTCGGCCAGCCTAGGAGTCCTAATAACTTGGGTTCAAGTCCTGTCTCTAACACATAGGGGTCATCACTTAAATTCTCACTATCCCAAACAACTCTCTTAAGACCATGAGATGCAGCGCACTTGCCAGTCTGTATTAATGGAAAGGGATTTCACACTGGGAGTTTCCCACACCAATTAAATCACAGGTACAGTCCAAAAGAAAATTTGCAATAGGGTATTTATACATTCAACAAGCATTTTCTGAGCAAGAAGATACAAAAGTGTTGCTCTATGCCCTCAAGAACCTGACAGTTTAATGGGATTGGGTGTTGGGGATTAAATTATGTTTGTACATAAGAACAATGAGAATGAGATAAATGCTAGTACAATATACTATAGGAGTTCAGAAAAGAAAGGAGAGATAATTCTCACCTATTAATATTAGAATCAGAATTTTAGAGCTTAGTGATCAAATTGCTCAATCCTCTCCTTTTGAAGATGGGGAAACTGAGGAAAAACATTCAATCAACAAGCATTTATTAAGTGCCACCTATGTGCCAGGCTCTTTGCTAGGTGCTGAGGATGCACAAGACAAAAGGGAACAAGAGACCATGATTTGCCTAAGGTTAGATTAAGAATTTGACTGAGGCTAGAAGCTGTGGCCTTGTTCTCCTGGCTGCCAGTCTAGAGCTCTTTTGATTACCCCAGGTCTGCTCATCCATTCATCTGACTATTTCTAAGGTAAGTTTTTAAACACAGTTAATAATTACTTATTATTTATATATATTTAAAATTCATCAAAGAGAAGGGACAAATATCTTAAATCCATTTTTAGTTTTATAAAGAGTGAAACAGATGGTGGTTGGTACAGCTATTTTTGCATTTAACCTTCAAGCAAACGAATCTGTCATGGTTACTAGTTTAAAAAGCAGATGCGATTGAGTCCTCTTCCATGGAAGCACTTGTCTTTAGAGACTGGAAAATTCTAGAAAACTATAATGCAAGTAAAGGTACATATATTTTAGCTGATTTAAAGAGAGGGAATGAACACAGAAAGTGAATCATGCACATATTATTGCTAAATGACTGTCAACATGTGTTCATATCTGCTGCATTTTTATGATAGATTTGAATCCTGGCTACATCGTATAATGTACTATGTCATACCTAACATTTAGAAAGAACAAGGAATTAATTACTTAGCATTTTCTATGTATTTCTGTCACTAGAATTAATCATATTTTTACTTTAAGTGAGATTATCAATCTTACTTAAAGCTATTGATGGCCTTGACTATATGAAAATTTGTTTGCTTTTCAGTTTCAGACTGAAGAAGTTAAGGGAAGAAACATTGGGAAATTTAGTTTATTTATTGGTAATATTAACACACAAAACTGCCATTCTCTAGTGTGTTCTCAATGTCCCTGCACACATAGGCCACTTTTCATGTATGTAAAGGGCTAAGAATTTTTGATCATCTTCCATAGGAGGTTCTCATAAAGTCAACAAAGCAAAAAATCTTGGATGGTTGATCTTGTTGTAATGTTATTTTTTTCTATATGAATGTAATGAATACAGCCAGTAATTTAAATAACATGAAATCCTATTATGAATTTGTTCTAGTATTGCTGGAAAATGTTGGGGAAGAATTGGATCCTATCCTGGAGCCTCTTCTACTAAAGCAAACATTTAAACAGGGTGGGAGTGTTTGTATCCGACTTGGTGACTCTACAATTGAATATGCACCTGACTTTCGCTTTTATATTACAACGAAGCTAAGAAATCCACATTATCTTCCTGAAACATCTGTTAAGGCTAGTACTTGAAAATAGATGTATTTCTAGTCCTATTTTTATAATTAACCATTTTTCCCTTTCTAGTAGCATATATAAATGCCCACTGTGTAAACGAGCACCTTTTTCATTTTGAACATTCCCTGAAAGTATTATAATGATTTGTAAATGTTACCTTTGACAGTGCTTAAGGAAAACATATTTCCTTAGTATTCTTTGAAAGCTAATCTAAATTTAATTTTTCCTGTTGATAGTCCTTCCAGATTTGGATTGTTTAAAATTGAAGCTTTACACAATCATGCTTTCTCTTATGTATCATCAAATGATAATATACTAATTGAATTCTTATTTGTACCTTAGAATTTAGCATTTTCTGTTTCTCAACATCAGCTTTCTTCTATTTTATTCTCATTAGCTATTTGAAAGAGATTTTTTTTACACTAGTACTTTGAAGATGAAATTCTGAAAGGTTCTTCAGGTGATAAAAAGTACTTTGAGCATCCGAGACTAAAAGACATTAAACCTTAATCAGATATCCATGACCCAAACCAAAACCAGGAAATAAGCAAAATGGATCATAAATTTGATGGCTAACATGAAGAAAACAGTAAGACAGTAGCAATGTTTCAGGACTAGGGGGAGGAGAAGGTGGGTTTAGCTAAATATGGGGAGTTTTTGTAAATGGTTGTTGCAAGATCTTCTCTGGATATAGTAAAGATAAGTTAGAGAACCTCCTACAAATGTACACTTCCAGAAGCAGAGAAAAAAATTAGATAAATTTTTCAGGTTATGATTCCAGGAGATAATAGAAATATTTCTAATGATGATAATGAAATAAAGCTATGGGGAAAAGACTAGAAACTTTATTTTTTTTCCATACTGAAATATTGGACTTAACAAGGTCANGAGGTTATGATTCCAGGAGATAATAGAAATATTTCTAATGATGATAATGAAATAAAGCTACGGGGAAAAGACTAGAAACTTTATTTTTTTTCCATACTGAAATATTGGACTTAACAAGGTCA